GAGAGAGAGAGAGAGAGAGAGAGAGAGAGAGAGAGAATGTGTTTAAGCGCTGTGGAAACAAAATCGCAGCTCACATTTTGTATACATATAAATTTGAACAACTGGCTTTGCATCAACAACCTTCATAGAGTAGTTAACGAAGCTTGAAAGTGAGTGCCATAAACTTAGTTGGTATCATGGTTGACTATTGACTACAGTGCGGATAGCCTCGGTTTAAATCACAAACGGGATGCTTGGTCCTGGATTCTTTAGGGGGCTATTACCACACATTTGGCTCATGACGGATGTGGGTTTTGAATCTGAAGGCCCGACGTCAAAGGAAAAAGACCCAAAAAAAGACAAAAACAATCCCTAAAACAGCCTTACAGAGTTGAAATGGGCGTTAAATTGATGCAAGAACCAAAGACTAATTAGTGATGTGCCCATCTTGACACATTACGAGGGCTCAGTTGTTCGAGCCTCAGCTTGGTCCGACAGTGTGTCCTTAAGCCTTGGGAAAGGCACTTCACACGAAATTCCCATTTGGCTCGGTTCTTCTGAAGATGGACGTCAAGCTCGGAGGTCTGGCCTCTTATCTAGTTGTGTTGATAGAGATGTTAAACCCGTACTATTCCATACATAACAGGTCGTGTGGAAGGTTGGACACAAGCAAACTTACCCCTCTATGAGGCCATTCTTTCGCCTTGTCAACTTGTGGACGTTCTGCCTCCTCGTCTTGGACCTGTCACAGAAAGACATAGAAGATATCATCGGGGAAGATAGAGAAGTGGTTGACTCTAAGATCTTGTTTCTCTTTCAATGTTTCTTATTAGGATCTTCAGGCATGCCTACTGGTGACGGAATCCTGTTTCTTCGTAAATAGCAGGAAGCAAAAACAAGCGAATGCCCGGCTTTAACCACCCCTCGAGACACTGTGGTGCGTCTTTTTTCGCACTTCGTGAAGACTTTCAATCCCGGTTTGTTCCTTGTTTAAGTGGAAATCTTGAAGGTAAGAATAGGAGCACGTTGGTGTTCCCTGATTTCAGTCTCTTTAGTGGAAACATTAATTTATTATCTCTCTCCTGACTAGGGACAACCGAAATATTCGTTTTGTTTGTTTAATTTCTTACGTAACCATTTATTTCATTTTATTTCGATGTGTTTAAAAAAATTCATTTTCATTTTATATCATTATTTATTTCGTTTCACTTATTTTATTTTAACTTTATGTTTGTAAAAAACTTTACCTTGTTTTATTTGTTTTTTTATTTTATTTATTTTCTATTTGACTAATTTATTGATAGATTGATTAATTGATTGATTTAGTTATTTATTTATCGGAGATTGGATTTTGTCTTTTGTCCTATTTTTATGTCATTTTTGGTGGGGATGGGAAGGGGGGGGGGATTAACTAAAATTGTCCACTAAAGGATCTGTAGACAATGCATACTCCTATTTGTGTGCACAGGAACGAATATCATATTGATCTACATATTACGTTTGTGTGTTTATATGTGTGTTTGTGTGCGTGTGTGTCCAAATATGTGTATGTGTGTCCATGGGTGTGTGTGTGTGTGTGTGTGTGTGTGTGTGTGTGTGTGTGTGTGTGTGTGTGTGTGTGTGCGCGTGGGTGTATGTGTCTCTCTCTCTCTCTCTCTCTCTCTCTCTCTCTCTCTCTGTGTGTGTGTGTGTGTGTGTGTGTGTGTGTGTGTGTGTGTGTGTGTGTGTGTGTGTGTGTGTGTGTGTGTGTGTGTCTATGTACGTGTTTGTGTGTCAGCATCCAAAGAGAACACACATTTAAATTTAAAAAAACAAAAGAACGTGCGTCACGCCACACTTACCTGCACTTCGTTTACTTTGGTTGAGTTTTAGTGAGAGTTTTATGGCCCTTGCCACACACACAGATGAAATACGTGCCTAAGATCAGAAATGCAACTAGAGAACATCAGCATGGAAAGAAAAAGAAGAAGGGGAGACAATGATGATATATCTTTTTCTTATAGAAAAGAAGGAGAATATGACAGCTGAGCACCCGCCAACCACCCACCTTGAGTTGGTAGTGTCCGCCCGGTATGGATCAAACTACTCCAAAATTGATGTCCACATCGTACCTCTCCTGGAACTTGGGAGTAAAGACGACATCAAACACGCCGTCATCCCTTTCTATGGCGTCAACACCAGTGTCTTGACATCCTTCAGGTCTGAGCCGACACATGACCTTCCCAGCCCCGGCCTTGGAAGCGTTCACGGCGACTACAACATCCTGACCATGTTTCACAAATCCGTCGTGATCTTTTCTTCCCAGGATCCGACACAGGCTCGAGTTTCTATTGCCACTGCCCTGACACTATATGGAGATCCCGGTACGTTTTTCTCTCCGGCGAGAACAATGACGTCATTGAGACCCAGGTCATCAGGGATGTATTCCAAAGTGACGTCGGTGGCCTAGTTGTTAGGCTCTCGGACTCGCAACCGTAAGGTCGTTGTTTCGAATCCCGCCAGGGGCTCGGTGTTGTGTCTTTGGGAAAGGCATTTTGCACAAATTTTCCTCACTTCACCCAGGTGAAAATGGGTACCCGGCTATAGACTGTGAACGACCGTGTCAGTTTGATAGTGTTTGAGCGCGTGAAATCCGCAGCTTGGACTGTATGCTTCTGCGGAAGCGGAGAATGTTTCAGAGTGTTCTCAGAGGGTCTGGTGGGGTAATAATGGTTGTAAAGCGCATAGAGTATGCTTTTGAGCTTGGATGTGCGCTATATAAATGCAGTTATTACTATTATTATTATTCCACCTCATAAAGACCGCTAAAATCGTACTGGATGTAAAGATATATGGTTGTCAGGTCCGGTCGTCTGACCTACACGACGATAGAGGTCACTCCATCTCCATCCAGTCGTGTGTCCACGCTGAAGGGCGTGGGAAGGCTGGTAGTCACTATGTCCTCGACCCCAGGACCCGTGACCTTGACCTCACTTATAGTAGACTGGGTGTTCATGGAAACACAGGTTTCCAGTATAATGTTGGGCAAGAAGAGAGCGCCTCAAATGTAGCCACTACGATTATAATCAGTATCTAGTTTTGTTAGGTTTTGAGCGTGGGGTTAGCTCTTTATTAAGAAATTAATTTGACTCGAGTAATGAAAGAGGTCTAGGTTCAGGCTAATGTTTAGGGTTAGAGTTTCAGTGTTTTCGTATTTTTTAAATGATATTATTCGGTTTCCAAGCCTTTAGGTTCACAGCATTAATTTGGAGTTAGCTCACTTGGTATAATGCACTAATATTATGTAGTGGATTTTTGGTCCACAAGACATCTCCTCAAATGTGGAGGCTATTGTTATATCTAGTATCTAGGTAGGGTATGTGGAGTTTTGTGCTGGTGTCTAGGTATTTTTTAAAAGGATTTTTAATGGGGTAATGAATGGGGGTTATGTCTCGGTTTAGGGTTAGGTTGAAGATTAGGGCTGGGATTAGGTTTAAAGTTAGGTTTAGGAAAGGTTTAAGATGAGTGTTAGGGTTAGCTTCAAGGTACGTTTTAGGTGTAGATTTAGGATTAGGGAAAGGGTTAGGGTTCAAGTGTTATCAGAATATTTTCCTTTTTTAATAATTCGGTTTACGAGCCTTTAGGTTAATAATATCAGAGATCAAAGAACTAAGATCAAAGCGTTAGTTTCTTTGTACACGAACCTTCAGACTTACAAAGCTCACCAATTTGCAGGATGGGTGTGGTTGGGGGAGTTGTTTGGGGTGGGGGTGGAGGAGTAAGAAGAGTGTAGACATCATGCAAACGTTCTGAGGTAGTACAACATCTTTTCCCCCTTTTTTTGCAGAAAGGCTGTAATTTACGTTCCTTCTAAGAATAAGTCACTTTATTTTCAGTTTACGAGTAAGTGTTTTATCTTTCACCTACACAATTTAGACAATTAATTAGAACTGTCCATCGACCCTGTCTGTCAGGGCCAACCGGAGCTGAAAAGGATACAACACCCCAGCAGAAAAATCCGAGATGCTCGACGAAATTAATTTTGCCCCTCACGCGGGAATAGAACTCGGGTCCTCTTCGTGCTACAACAAGGTCGCTAACCACTACACCGCAGACACAGGTAAAAAAAAACCCCAAAAAAAACGCCAAGTGCTGTGATGGTCTATTACTAGTACTCGCGTAGTTATCGCGAAACCGTGTCAGTAATTCCGAGTAACCACATACCGGTTTCTCTTACCACCACTTGATCGTCACTGACATGCAAGCGCGCGACAGAATCTGCGCTTCAAACATAGGAAGAATTAGCCATGAAAAAATCTGCATGAGGACAACCTTGAGACCATCTTAAGATAAATTGATCGTCTGCATAGACGAAAAGAGCCATACTACATACTTGGTCCTCAGATTAGGCATACATCTACGTATGGTGAGACACTGTATAGGCTTACTTCTCTTTAACATACAACTCGAATTAGTAGATCTAAAATGAAGTGCTAATATTTTTTGGACCGCATGCTTCCAAGGAAGTCGAGATTGTTTCAAAATGCTCTCAGATCTGCTGAGGTAATGATAATAATATAGATTATAATGCGGATAGACCTCGCTCACGGTTGCTTAAAAGAATGTTGTACCAGAATAGATTCGACTCTTATATATATCAAGTTCACGATGCCAATTTGATTTTATTCAAAATAACACTTTTTATTTTCAAGGATGCGAGCCGAACCGGGTTGAATTCCGTTGATGGGAGTTGTTTTTCTTTTCTTTTCTTTTCTTTTTTTAAAAACCAGTAAACAAAACATCACTAACACAGTTTCAATTCAAAGCCCCCCCCCACCCCCGCCCCCTCCCCCTCCTGCCCGTACCCAACAAATGACAAGAAGCAAAAGAGGATTTACTTACCTCTTCGACCTTAGTCTTTTCCTCCTCCTCCTTAGGTGGGATTTCAGCATGGTAGGCATTCAAACTCTGAGAACAAAGGTATTGTTTCTAAAGCATTCTGATGTTTCGGAAGTTGTATCTTATTTTGCCATGAATTGTAAAGTGGACAGAGCTTGCTGTTGAACGAGGATATCCACTAGTCCCATATAAAGTCATTTACTGCTTGTTTATTATTTCATTATTAATTTCTTTGGAAAGTCACAGTAGATGTATGCATTTGAACTTCATGATCACACAAAAAAGTCCGATGTCTGGCTACAGTTTATACGTGTGCCAGATCAACACATTTTCAGAGATATTCATAAACAAAGCAGAGCAAATGAATTTACTTTCACAACAACCTGCAATGTCTAAAGAAGCAAACCATGGGACCCGATTGTAACAGAGATAAAAAAAAAGTTTCAGTCAGCTTCAACGATCTTAAAAATGAACTATTAATGGATTATGCCAAATGGCTGATAGAGTGGCAGTCTATGTTAAATGGCTTACATAAATTTCACTTTATTTACTGTTATTGCTGCTGTTGTTGCCTTGTTGTTGTTGTTGTTGTTGTTGTTGTTGTTGTTGTTGTTGTTGTTGTTGCTGTTGTTGCTGTTGTTGTTGTTGTTGTTGTTGTTGATGATGATGATGATGATGATGATGATGATGATGATGATGATGATGATGATGGTGGTGGTGGTGGTGTTGTTGCTGCTACTGATATTATGTGTCCCACTTATAATATTAAAATAACGTGTTGACTGTTCCCCATTTTCGAGACATGGGACATTCAAAAGGAAAAGATAATTAAAGAACTACTGACTACTAGGAGCAAAATAGGAGTGGGTTTGTCTCTAAGCATAGCTTGGGGGGTAAAAATAAAACAAAACAAAACAAAACATTCACACACAAATACAAACACAAACACCTACGCTGGGGGAAAAAACCTGCCTCTACAAACACCAATCTACGACAGAGTCACTCGCATCAAGAAATAAAGTAATATTGTCACGACATGGTCAAGCAGAAGCAGTAAATAATAACATCTACCAATTTAGCGGGAGCAACCATGCACATGCTTCTGGTAAAATATAAGAAATTTAACAACTAAATAATTTTATAACAATGGCTTTTGTTTGTTGATCTTCTTTGCTTCTTTCTAAACACTCTGTATTGTTATCTGACACACAGACTATTTAAAACATTCCCAATGACCTGCTCAAATAAACGAGCAATCTATAACTGTGCGTGGTTAGTAAGAAATTATACTTTTATAAAGAGGTTAGTAAACGCAGAAGAAAGGCATTGGGGCGTTTTGTTTTTGGTCTTGTTTTGAAGTAGATTTTATCACAGAGCCGTAACCAGCCATTAAAACTGACCTGACATAGCTAAGGGGAATAGTAAGCTAGATTGCGTATTATCGCTACCTCAGAATTACAAAGTTCTGTCTGACATTTTTGGCCGTTTTGAGCTATTAAGTGTCGAGGAATCAGTTGATTAATACTTTATTTGCTCTATTAAAATCGTAAGATAAATCGGAGTAGTTATTATGATAAAGAAATGCATTTGAAAAAGCCTGACATGTTGTGAAACCCGAAAATTCTTTGCGTCAAAACTAGGTACTGAGCAGATAGAACTTTGAAACAAGTGATTCCATTGGTAATTTTATCTATATTAACACAGAAGGACAAGACACCAAAGCAGGGAGACAGAACAAACCTTTTTCTAAAGCTACGACCGTCCGGCCTACAGCCGTATTGTCCACTACTCGTCCTTCTACGACCCAAAAAAAAAAAAAAAAAGAAGAAATAACGAAAATCCTAGGGAAAAATCCAATTTGAAACATCAGGTGTCCTTTTCTATTTTAGCCTCAAGCATATTCAATTCCCTTTACTTCTTGTTGACAATCCCAATCGATTAAAAATTATCAGTATTCGCGAGAGACAGTTCCATCTCTTTACAGCTAGACATAATTTTGGTACGTCTGACAACGCCGATGTTCACTTCAACATTAAGATTTATAAGAACTATAGCTTGAACAAGAACTCCTGATTCTGAACTTTCGAACCTGTCCATAACAACTAACCAGTGTCGAGGGGGAAAATTGGTTATCTAGCACAGGTGGTTCTTTTGGACAATGTCATTATCATGTAGTAAAAAAATGGAAGGGGGAAGTGGATACTTGTCGTTAGTACAGTTGATTGTTTTGTACAGGTGGTCGTTAGAGCAGGTTCGATGGTACTTAATGTTCAATAACTATGGAATGTGCAGTCAGTCAACAAGGAAAGTATATGACTTGTACTGGGCCTCATAAAGCTTATGACGTTTAGGACATGTTTGGGGGGGGG